ATCTCCGACGCTCTGCCTGAGCTCAGAGACGCCGATTACGAAGATGAAGTGCTCCAATCGTCTGCGCGCGATTACGAGGCCTATCTCGACACCCTCATCATGAAGGCAGAAAACCTTGGCATTTCTATCTGCTCGTTGCCCTCCACCAACTCGACGTCTAGCAATCACGATACTTCGTGCACCGAGTCGAATACCACTACGAATACCAACCATGCGCGTACCATCTCGACCGTGTCGCAGGCGTCTGCGAGTACATCTCCGACTTCGCCTTCATCGAGCAATGGCCACGGCTACACTAGCAAGCTCCTTGCAAGAAAACGCTCCCAGACACTAACATTCGTGCACTATGAAACCTACCTGTCCCATATCAAGCCAAATCTGGGCCAGTCCAAATTCTTAGCAGCCGTAGCGGCGCAGCCAACGCCGAGCCTCTTTCGTATGAGCTCGAGAAAAAGCTATAAGGTACTTCGACAGGGCTTCTCGAAACTACGGGGCAGGAAGAAACCGGCGCCATTGATCGTGTGAGCTTATCTTGTATTGTCTGGTGGTCAGGTAGTGGGACATAGCGCAACTAACACTGGCCTTGTAGTACGTGCAGTGCATGTCGAGAAGATATACAGCCCAGTCAGCAGTTGCAAAAGCTACCTTGCGGGCATAGCTACTGTCAGGCTTGCTTACGCATTATGATCAACCAAGCGACAGCCGAAGAATCCAAAATGCCACCGCGGTGTTGTACGCAACCCATACCGAGCGCCGTCGTCAAGTCGACACTCTCCCGAGAAGAGCAAACCCAGTTCCTCAAGGCAGTTCACCAGTTTAGTACGCCATGGGAATCACGAGTCTTCTGCTCCAACCCATTGTGTGGCGAGTTTATTCCACCACGTGCCAAGGTCGACCCGAAGCATCCGTCTAGGGTTGTGTGCCGGAAATGTCGGTGGCGGGTCTGTGTTATGTGTAAGAAAGATGCTCATCCTATCGGCCAAGATTGCCCAAATGATTGGGAGTTGGACGCTGTGTTGAAGATAGGCGAACGAGCGGGTTGGCGAAGGTGTTATAAGTGCCGCACCTTAGTTGAGCTCACCTATGGATGCACTCATATGACATGCAGGTGCCGTGCTCAATTCTGTTATATCTGCGGTGCCGTCTGGGACCCTGCCGTTGGATGCCCTAATTTCTGTAACGGTGATGAGGAGCTGGAACGAAGAAGGCAAGAAGAAGAGGCACGGATTGCGGCACAAGAAGCCGAAGAAGCTGTGAAGCAGCAAGCGGCGGCTAGGGAAGAAGCAGAGAAACTAGAAGCCGAGGAGCGAACACAAAAATGTGAAGAGTTCAAGGCGCTGCGTGGTGATCAGACAAAGGAGATGGCACGATTCCGGGATTTTGAGCAGAAATCCAAATGGCTGCTATGGGCACGGCATGCGAAGCAGAAGACCGCTCTTGTCGAGAAACATGCCGCAGCTATAGAAAAGATGGTGGAGCGGCATGCTAAGACGTCTGCAAATCTAGAGGATCGACAAGTTGCCGCCGAGATGGAGTTGCGCAGCACGCTGGAACAGAGTGAGAGAAATGTGCGAGTACGATTAAAACACATGGAAGCTTACTGTGATGGGTTGGGCCACGACCACGACCACGACCCCGAGATGCCATCTCGGATTGTCACCGAAAGGGATCTGCGTGAACTCGGACAACAGTACAATCTCGAAAAGAACATGAAACAGCTTCATGAGGCCAAGATTAATGTAATGCGAGACCGACAAGCCAAAGCCTTAGAGCAGCTCTTGGAGAGACAGAGATGCGAGGTGCAAAGATTGAAAGAGAAGAACGCCAATGAGGTAGAACATCTCGAATCCGACTTTGCGGATGAAGAAGACTCCTTGTCTACGGCATTCAACGAACGCCAGTCGACACTGGAGACACGTTGGAAACTTGAGATGGAGATCATGCGCAAAGAACTGGAAAGTGAACGAGACGTGAAGTACAACCTGTTGCCCCCATTAGAGTGGCCGCGGGACAAGGATTTATTTGGAGATGGGCTCGCCATCGTGGAGTAAGTAATGGGCCCCAAGAGATTTAGACATGGACTGCTTAACTGGAGCAGATGAATGGGGTATTTTGGACCCGGTCATGTCACAGTCACACGTCTTTCTTTAGCTTGTTTGTTGATGATCTGGCACCAGCATGGCGCGGGAGTTAAATTTTGCTTTTACTTGGTCTCATCAGCTCAAGGCTGCAGATATACCCAGGCGAAGGCGTCATGTTCATGTATCATAAAGGGCGTTCAGAGCGTTTGCGGTTATGCATTGGGCACCGTTCGGTCAATCTGTGGGTGGCGACGCGACAGAGTTCCCTGTGCGAGGTTGGTTTTCTGCTGTCGTTCACGGTACTCGGCCAAACCTCATCACATAGATGCTTGCTACATATTTCTTCTAATAGCCAACTCCATCTATTTAAAACTTGCCTGGGACATGGAACACAATGATCAAATCAGTGGATCCGGTGATTCCGGCACCTGACAGACACGGGAATTAAAGTAATTGCATATACTCTGTATACTCTATCGTAGAACTTTCACAGGCTATGTACATGTTCACACCGTGTGCCGCCCTCGAACCCCCGACAGACCCATGGAAATCAAGCCACTGTTCAAGGCCCATGGCGACCGCGATGTCTCAAGACGCATGTCCAACACGGACAAGGTTCTGCACACCCTTGCAACTGTGACTGCTGGTGCGTAGAGGTAATCTGTCTGTATGCTGGTCAGCAATGTTGCAATATTCCCATCTCAATTGACCATCAAAACGAAGGGAAGAGTGCTGTCAGAATATGTAAGAAATTAACTATCAGGTTTCCACCCGATATAGCAGCTCCGGCGAGAGCGCCATCGGGATGGAATCAATCGCAAATTACCTCATCAGAAGCAGGGGAGGAAGGCCACGGAGGAAGGCCACGGAGGAAATGGAGGCTTGGATGATGCTTACCTATGAGGAAACGGCCTGGCAGCCACCGGAGAAATGCCTACTGCAGGCTGAACAGCCCAGACTTTGATGAGGAAAAACATGGAGAGAATTCATGAAAAGGTTTTGCATTCGCGCTTTTTATAGCAAATGAAATTGAGTTCCCACAGGCCCAAGCAAGGTCCCCACATACAAGGCTTCCATTGGTCAGAAATGCTGACGGCCGACAAGTGCCCTCTCCCATGCTGGACAGCTGGTGGCTCGGGTAGCGGCTGGCACGCCTAGATTTGGTGCACACAGGAAATTTTGAGAAAGTGCGGACAAAAATCCATCATCCCGGAATCCCCTCCAACGAACTAACCGACAGCAAGACGACATCGATTGAGCCTCACATCGCGGCCTCCTTCCACCTCTCAATCTGTAAGTATTCGTACCGACTCGCCCACCGACGCCCGCCCTGCCCGAGCACCATCTTCGCATCACTTCCAGTCCGCTTCAATTCCCCAACGCAACGTTGAATCCTCCGATCAATAAATAGAGGCTCTTCCGCTCCGGCTTTCCACCACGCGTCTCCGGCTGCCTCCAGCAACAGCAGCTCGCCGATTCTGCTTGTGCTGCATATCTAACGGTTGGTTGTGTAGAACACAGTCACCATGTCCGCGTCCGTTGAGTCCCCGTCGTGGCGAACCGTCGAGGTCGGCCGCCTTGTCCTCATCAACCACGGCCCCTTCACCGGCCGGATCGCCGCCATCGTCGAGGTCATCTCCGAGAAGCGCGTAAGTGTCTTTGACGCCTGGGAGTGGGGGAGGCAGCAGAAGCAAAGAGGAAGCGGTGGTTGACATGTCGATGCGCATTTAGGTCCTGGTCGATGGCCCCAGCTCCGAGGAGAAGTTCGCCGTGCCCAAGGGACCCGTTGCCCTGTCCGACGTGCTCCTCACCGACATCAAGCTCGAGATACCCCGCGCCCTCCGAACCGGCACTCTGAAGAAGTTCTGGGAGAAGGCCGAGATCGACCAGAAGTGGAAGGAGAGCAAGTGGGCCCAGCGCAGCCAGCGGACAGAGCGCAGGAAAGCCCTGACCGACTTCCAACGCTTCCAGCTCCTCCGCGCCAAGAAGCAGCAGCGATACGAGGTCCGCAAGGCCCTCGCCAAGGTCAAGGCCGCGGCATAAATTCGACGGGGGTAAAGGGGGGAGGGGAATGATGCTCGATTCTGACTCAGGAAGAAGAGGCTCTCACGACGGGAGCGGTTTCGGTCTTTCGCATGGTACATGGGCACGGGGTTGACGGATTCCTTTTGCTGCATAGTCTGGCAAGACCTGTATGTCACACAAAACATATTTCTGAGGTGACCGGCGTCAATGATTACGGACCATTCACAAGCAACTCTTTTTTGAATGATGCATCGTTCTCTGTGCGCCCGCTTCCTCGGATGTCTGTGTTACGCCTGTGTGGAAAGGGACAGCAGTCTTGGAGAGATGGACTATACGGTAGTGCGTTGCCTCTAGGCGATGCATGTACCTGACGCTCATCGCGTATCATGATACAATAGCCTTTACCTCCTGGCGAGCAGAGTGCTGGGTGAAGTTGCCCGCGAGAGATGAATAAATATGATGCAACCAATTTCCAATACTGCTTCTCTGGAACATTCGATTATTGATATAGATTTATAATGTAGGTATTCAGCAAATCCACCACACATGTTTGAATCCGTCTGGCTCCGGTTGCCTACTTACCTCTGTACCTACTCTTGCCAAGTAGGAACCAAGCATCGTCGTAAGGAGATCATGATGGGTAAACTATCTAGGCGTAGATGATCGGGCTTCCGTACATAAGCACCTTATAAAATGGTAAGACGCAACTCCGATAGTGGAGTGTATGATTAACTGGCCTTGCGAGTACCTTGGCGCCCATTACATTGAATGACCACACTTGTTGAGCACAAGCTGAGGCTGAATGAACCAAGACAGAAGCCACAAGCCACTTGGGCAACAAACATCCTTTCATGAAGGACGACAAAAATTGTAGCGGAACAAAAGATATAACACTGGTCCCAGTGAGGCTTGAACTCACGGCCTTCGCATCACCAATGTTATAATGAGGTTATAATATTAGTACGACGCTCTAACCAACTGAGCTATGGGACCGATTGGTTGAGGGGGCAGTATTCCGATCTAGGTAGATTGTGCAAAGCGGGCATCCACTCCTCCACAACAGAGATGGTGGAGGTGACTTGAGTGATCTGGGTAAGGTGAGCTTCGTTGAGGGCGAGTCTCGGGCGGCCTCTAGTCTAGCATTTACATGGCAACAATTACAGGTAACTTTAGGTATACCGGAAGGTAAGGAGAGACGCATTCCTGCTTCCATCTGGTGGGGTGGGCACACAGGTACCTAGGTACCCGCTGACTGGCCGGATGGAGGGGCCTACAGGTGTGGGCGGTTGGGCCACCCGCGGTAGCCCTAGCCAAACAATTGACATGAATTTGTGAACAGGCGCTGGAACTTTTCCTCGCCAAATTCCAGGTACCGGTGACAGTATCCCCCCGCTACCTCTTCCCTGTAGTAACCTCCCCCGTTGTGACCTCTGTGCTTCGTTGTCGCTGCCTCCTGTGAGTGTGATTTCCTATTGGGAGCCCTTGCTTATTTATCCATGGCGCCTTTCATGCGAGCTCTCCGGCGCTGTCGGCCGTCCTGTCGGGCTGCAGCTGGTCTGCGTTGCGCCGGATCGATGGACCTCGCTAGCCTCGCTTCCCCGTTCCAGCCAGCCTTCTCCTTCTGCGTCTTTGTCTTTGCTAATCTGGCCTTTCCCGCGCAGTCTATCTCACCTCCACCATGGCCAACCCACGTGTCGAAGAGCTGCCCGATGAGGACCCCAAGAAGGTCGGCGTTGAGGAGCACGACGACGATGACAGCTCCGACTCCGAGATCGAGGCCGGCGAGAGTGGCCCGACCGGCTCCAGCGCCGTGATCCACTCCCGCAACGAGAAGAAGGCTCGCAAGGCCATCGAGAAGCTTCACCTTACCCGTGTCAGCGGCATCACCCGTGTCACCCTCCGCCGCCCCAAGAACGTGAGTGGGCCTATTTTGCTGCGTAACAGGACGACGGGATGACAGGCTGAGGAGAGCCTGTGTGTGGCTAGCTTCGGATGTGTTGCGAGGCCCGTCTGTCGCCGGCGAGCCTTCGCGACGCATTCTGTGGCCTCATTATTCCTCCCCATGAAGCTTGCTGTCCCGGTTGTCCGCGTGCCCTCTTGCTGACGAATTTGTGCCAGATCCTCTTCGTCATCAACAACCCCGAAGTCTACAAGTCTCCTAACAGCAACACCTATATGTGAGCAACTGGATAGGTGGTATCACAGGAAAAACAAGGGCTAATGATGGAACTAGTGTCTTCGGTGAGGCTAAGATCGAGGATCTCAACTCGGCTGCCCAGCAAGCTGCTGCTCAGTCGCTCGCCGCCCAGGGTGGAGAGCACGACCACGCTGGTCACGACCACAGCCACGGCGATGCCGCTAAGGCCGTCGAGAGCACCGAGGACAAGAAGGAGGACGATGACGACGACGAGGAAGTAGACGCAGACGGTCTTGAGGATAAGGATATTGAGCTGGTCATGACTCAGGCAAACGTCTCTCGTACGAAGGCAATCAAGGCACTAAAGGAGAACGACAACGACATAGTAAATTCTATCATGGCGCTTAGCGTCTAGGAGTCGAAGAAGGGATCTCTGCCAGCAGTCTTGCCGTAAGCCAACAGTCGCGGTCAACTTGCTGGTGCATTTGCGACGGAAAAAAGGCCATGCGTGGGCCAGATGGGTGGACCACGGAAAACAGGCATTTTCCGAATCCTGCAATTAGCTACATAGCTACGATAGCTCGCGAAATGGATGTCTTGGGATAACCATATGAGTACTCGTACACTCCCTGCCTAGACATGCACCAAGTGACACGTAATCGCGCATTACACTACGACCACAAGACACTATGCCCCTCACTCGTAGCTCGCACCGTGGATCTCGAACCAGAATAAGAACGGTAAATGGGAGGAATTTGCAGATAGAAGGTGTAAATGAGAGCTAATTAAACCATTGCATGCCATTGTTCGTGGTGGTGCCGTTTACTGGAGGATATGAGTACTTGGGTACCCGTAGACTGTAGTGGAACAGTATATCACGCAGGTCACGTGCTGCGGGTCACGGGGTGCAAGGTCCGGCAGAGACCCATTCCAAAACGCCGAGTAGTTCGGTAAAGACCAAGCAACCTCTGCTGCGAATTGCTTCAGATCTCCACTCATTCACGTTCCCTAACCACACCGCAAACATGGCCGCACCTACAGTAAGTGCCTCTCGTCGTTGAGCTGCACCCAAGACTGGCACACCGCCTCCATGGCACCACGAGGCAATTGGCAGCCAATGCCCTGCTGGTACGGGATGCTTTTCGCAAACGGATGAGCTAACTTTCTCGTGCCAACTTCGCAGCGCAGCGCAGCCCTGAAGCTCGACTGGGCCAAAGTCACCTCCTCTCTCGGCCTGCGCGGCCAGACCGTTGCCTCCCTGCAGGCCTTCAAGCAGCGTAACGAGAACGCCCGCCGAAAGGTGCAACTCCTGTCCGAGCAGTCGAGCACCGTCGACTTCGCCCACTACCGCTCCGTCCTGAAGAACCAGGCTGTCATCGACGAGATCGAGAAGCGGTTCGCTGCCTTCCAGCCCGCCAAGTACGACGTCGCCCGCCAGCTCAAGGCCATCGACGCCTTCGAGGTCGAGGCCGTCAAGAACGCCCAGGCCACCAAGGAGAAGGTCGACCTCGAGCTCAAGGACCTCGAGGCCACCCTCAAGAACATCGAGACGGCTCGGCCTTTCGACGAGCTCACTGTGGTATGTCGCGGGCGCGCTGCTCCGTGCAGGGCTGTGGCTCCGGACCGGGAGAGGATTTTTGTTGACCCTGCGCGTTCCAGGACGAAATCGCCGCTGCCGAGCCCTCCATCGACGAGAAGACTTCCAAGTTGGTTTCCAAGGGCCGCTGGTCCGTTCCCGGGTACAAGGTATGGACTCCTCCTCCCATGGATTTTCCCACTTGGAGATCGGAAGGGGAAAAGATGGCGAAAGGAAACATGTTTACTGACCATCCGTCCCTCTACAGGAGAAATTCGGCGATCTTTCAGTACTATAGACGAACGATACATGCCAACCCCCTTCTTTCATTTGTGTACTCTAGCATTGTAGATAGTCAGCCCGGAGAGGTCATGGCACTGGAATCACATCATTAATTTTGCCGAATCAACATGCGTGCAGGGCGACGACTGTTACTTGATGAAGCCTCCTTTACTTTCTACAGCTGTTTCTACTAACTAGAGTACTTTACGGGCCGTCAGCGGCACGACATACTCGCATAGCGCAGAGTATCTACCAGCTCCATTGTGTTTAGTGTATATTGCGAATAATGCTTGCCTACCCCTCGCTGAGACGGGTGGTCGACAGCTAATGCTATGATGGGTCTTGGCAGCGTTTGGCGATCCCACTGAGCTGACAACTCTTTTCAACCGGGCCGCATTTCACTGCAGATACCTAGCGTGCGTATGAGCGGCTCGGTCTCAATAATTTTACTTAATAATCCCGATGTTTCGTTTTCTTCCCAGGGCAGTATGCGCTCGCTCCCCGAACGGGATCTAGGCGCCGGGCAAACGGGAGAACGGGGGCGGCCATCGCAGTAACGAGGGGCGTCGCGAGATAGGGTAGCCGCTTCTCAGCATAGAGCACTGTAGCCCGCCACTCTCCTATCTTGAACCAGTTGCGCCCGGCTCCCCGTTGCTGGAACCCTTCCCATTCCTCGGGTACGGAATATATCATGGAGATTAAGTTCTACGATAGCTGCCTCGACAGGATGTACGTTGCACGCCCGGGCGGAGTTATACTGTGCAGGATAAAAACGACGCAGACGTCAGATGGATTATGTATAGTCTCATGAGATACTACTCAAATTAGTCTATTTAATCATAGTAGTGTAGTTCGAGGCGATCGGAACCAGATAACAAATTGGCGCTGATTACACCAGCGGCTCCCAACGTCTCGCTCTATTTATATAATGCCGATGTAGTGTTACCCTCCGCAGCGAGCATACGAGCAGGCTATACACTGCTGATCTGGTGAAGCAACTGCTCTACATGCGGATTGTGGATCACTTGCGCTCCCCACCCTGTCCACCTAACTCAAGCGTGGGCGCCCGTCTGAGACAAATGTGCAAGACAAGAAAAAGGAAACAGAAGGAGCCCTGTGCAAATGGCACTCTGGTTATCGCGGGAATCGAATCCCCTAGCCTGAGGATACTATGAACCCATGCCTTTCACTAGTGAGGACATTGTGTAAACATGCTTCGCCAGACCAATACCGATACGGCTATCCAGCTGTTTGTTTTTCTTTTTTGTCTTGTAGGTGATAAGTATACTGGGGTATGTGTGTGCCATGTTATGCGACGTGTAGGTCTACCTAGATTGTGGAGGGGTTATGGTAGACTTTGGCCCAGGCGGCGTGCTCGGCGGTGCGGTGGCGCGGGATAGGGGAAGTACCTAATTAATAGAGGGGGCGAGTCACATGGTCATGAGACATGAAGATCCTATAGCTGTTCTGAAAGCCGGGGGAAGCGTGATTCATCGTCAAAGATGAGATGTGGCTGCTAGTACTTTTGCTTACATGTTTTACGCGTGCATGTATATGCGGCGATGAGATTGCACTAGCTATGAAAGTACTGCGTTCAGAGAGGACAGCATTATCGGGCAGTGAAAACAAAGCAATATGAAAGAGACAGAGAGAAGGCAATAACATAACTAGGGAGCTGCACCCTAAGCTCCTGGCATGTTGAAATCAAAGTATCGCGGGGTTCGGGGAGGGGCTGGGTATACGGAGTATTGGTTATAATTCCGTTCCAGGTTAAAGATTTGTTCGGTTATACATCATGCTCATGTCGAGCTTGTGTGCCCCGGCCGTCAATTGTTGATTCAGTTTCCCGTCGGCTGTTGGATGGCTGGCTCTTCATAGCCCGCTTGATACATCCAAGTGGTTGGGCGTCGCGGTGATACTTTCTACTATCCGTTAGATGAACGCTGGCACCTAAGGTATCCCGAGCGTATCTTTGACATGTCGTTATGAAGGACGTAT